AATCTTTGGTTTGAGTCCTGGTTTCCTTCCCATCATTATTGGCTCTCGATACATTTTTCTTTATTTTGCTTTTCATAGCCCTCACTTGTTCCTCTATTTTCCAACCATACTCAATCATTTCTGTGAGCATCCTGATTACCAGTGTTTTGAACTGTGCATATGATAGGTTGGCTATCTCTTCATCACTTAGTTGTATTTTTTCTGGAGCTTTGATCTGTTCTTTCATTTGGGGCATTTTTTTGTCTTGGTGTGCCTGTTATGTATAAGGGGTAGAGCCTTAGGTATTTGCCAGGGCGGGGCAACCCTTGTCTCAGTGTTGTGGCTTCTATGTGGGGTAGGGGTACAAGAGGGAACAATGCCACTTGCTCAGCTCTCAGCTGGCTTTCAGTTGCTTCCCCTGCTACCCACAAACAAATTGGGCCCTTCTGGTGCTGATTCCCATGTGAGTAGTTTGTATATGTTCCAGGACCCTGTGGGTCTCTCCGGTGAACTATTCTGTGAGGCTGAGAGTTTCTTCCATTGCCTCAACCCCCACAGATTTTTTTAGTCAGAGGTTTTAAGGCTTTATTTCCCTGCACTGGAGCTCCGGGTGGCACTGTCTCATTCCCCAGGTGTTCCTCCTGGTTTATCTGCACAGGACAGTGGGAATGCCCAGTCCGCCAGCTGCTGCCTTGCCCTGAGTTCTCTCCACCCAGCTGCATATGTCTGCTCCTCCTACTTGTCTGGATGAATGTTTCTTCTTTAACTCCTTGGTTGTCAGACTTCCATACAATCAGATTTTCTGGCAGTTCTGGTTAGTTTTTGTTTTTATATTTGTTGTCTTTCTTTTGGTGTGTGAAGAGGGACAGTGTATCTACCTATACCTCCATCTAGACTGGAAGTCCTATTTTTTCCCTTCTTGAAGTCATAGTGCTGTCACAAGCCTAACAGCCTAGGTGTGTATAAGTAAAAATGGGGTGTTTTTTTTTGCAAATGTTTGTATTTAATCTTTACATGTAAAGTAGAAAAAAGTACTTCCCTGGGCTCCCCGCATTTGTTTGGTGGTTTGCTTGCTTGTTTTTTCAGATGAGAAAGTTAAGGCTCAAAGCAATTCAAATTATTCAAGGTATTCAAGGTACTATCTCTAGTGAGCTGGAAAGTTGGGACTCAACTTCAGGCATTCTGATCCCTAGGCTAGAGCTTTTGCCCCACACCTCAGATGTATCAGGGTATAATCCGGGACTGTGTTTTAGTTTATTTACTTTTGTATCCCTGAGGCCTAGTACCATGCCTGGCATCTGGTGTATAGTCATTAAATGTCTGTTGAATGAAAAGCTAGGATTTACTGTCTACAACTATCCCCTGTGAGGAGAAAGATGCTCTCTGGCAAGTTTGGAGGGAGTTTTGATGCCTTATATAGTTCAGGAAGCCCAAGCATAAAAGCATCTAGAGAAGCACTGCAGCAGGCTCCTGGGAATGCCCTGTTTTCTTTTCAAGGTAGGAGCAGGAATTTAAGTAGATTTGAAGGACACTCCTCAGAGACAAAAATTCCCTGAAAGAAGGCATTGTTTTCTCTATGAGTGTGCTGCTGCTTGTTTCCTGCTCTGTGCCCACGTTCTAGTTGCATAGTGTCACATGTCACTGAGAACAACAGGTTCTCTGTTAGGCCTTCATAGCATGATTGGGGGCAGAGTATCACGCAATCCTGCTGCACCCCCTATCACTGTGTGGTGGAAGACTAAGTATCTTACAATGAAGTAAATCCCCTTAAAGTCCTTTCAGGGAAGTTCCAAGTTTCTCATCCCCTACTATGTGTGCATGCATGAGGCAGGAAAGTTGCCCTCAAGAAAGCTTAGGAAAGACAGGAAGGTGGCTGACAGGTAAAGGCTGATTAGCTTAAGGGGGAAAATTTATTTAATAAATAACACCTAAAGCTGTAGCAAAGTAAGGACAGAGAAATAGAACCTGGAGAAAGACTGTCATTAAAAAGAAAAATCCTGGCTGGTGTGGCTCAGTGGATTCAGTGCCAGCCTGCCAACCAAAAGGTCACCAGTTTGATTCCCAGTCAGGGTGCATGCCTGGGTTGTGGGCCAGATACCCAGTTGGGGACATGCAAGAGACTACCGATGAATGTATCTCTCATATGCAGTTTCTCTCCTCTTTCTCCCTCCCTTCTCCTCTCTCTAAAAATAAAATAAATAAAATGAAAAATATTAATAATAAAATAAAGGATATATTAGCAAACAACCAAAAAATCAGTGGAGTAAAATGAAAAAACTGGCATCATTCTCTATCTTAGAATATCATCACTGTTAAAAAGAGCTGTTTTGAAAAAAAAGATTATGTAAGTACTGGACAATATTTCTTATTTTTCTTTTTATTTATTGATTTTAGAATGTGAGGCGGGGAGAGAGAGAGATTGATTTGTCCTTCCACTTATTTATGTATTCATTGGTAGCTTCTTGTGTTTACCCTGCCTAGAGATTTAACAAACCCACAACCTTGGTGTATTAGATGACCGGGTGACTCTCTCTAAACAACTGAGCTACACAGACTGTGCTGGACCTATATATTTTTTGATGATTACTTTTCTTTATCTTAAAAAAATAAATGGACAAATATGGATAAAGGGCTCCATATTGGACAATTTGATTAGTCTTTTCCGTCCTGAACAGGGCCTGCCAAGGCAGGAAATGCAACACCATTTACAAAGCTTTCTCATCTTACTTGTTTTTTTTTTTTTTTTAAGCTTTTATTTTTCAGAAAGAGGGGAAAGGATGGAGAATCAACACACTACCTCCTGAATGCCCCCTAAGTGGGTATCTGGCCTGACCTGGCCCCCAACCTAGACATGTGTCCTCTATTCACAGGTCAGCACTTAATCCACTGAGCCATGACCAGCCAGGGCTGTCTTATTCTTAAGTGAACTGCTCATCATTCCAGAGGCTCTCTGTTAAAAGATATACAATACTAGCTATGAAATATTTAGTATACATTTCATACAACTTTGTAACAGTTAGTGAACCAAGCAAAGAACAATTTCTTCATCTCTTCCTTTTTGTCTTACATATTATTTATTTTAGAAATCTACCACATAATTCTACATCTCTTCTTTTACATTACTTATTTTATACCTTATGTTCCTTTTCTATCTTCGCCCTCCTACTTAAAAAAGTCCCAATCTCCTTCATGTTTTGGTCACTTTCTCTCATGGTGCATGTTTTCCAACCAGCTGCTTTCTGTCTCTCTCTGGACTCTATCCACTGAGCCTCTTTATACACTGTACAATGAGCCTTCATCTAAGTAATTCCGATTGTAGCTCTATTTTCCATGTTAGTTGCTGGTCCTCAATTATGTTTTTCCAGCACAGATTTTCAGCAAAAGGTTTTTGTCAGAGAAGAGTTATAATGTTTAAAAGATCAAACACTGAACAAAACTGCATCCTGTAAATCACTTAAAAGTAGTCTGTTAATGTAATTACGTTTATTTTCCAAAACCCTGAACAAGAAGACCACACCTCTCTAAAACAGGAGTGTTAGTTCCTTGAGCTCCCCTGCCCCCAGCTGCTTTGAGCTCCATACGCCTGTGTCTAGTCCCACCTAATACGCAAAGGAACCTATTTCTAAAATTCCGTTGTTGCTGTTAATAAGAAAAACCTGCTGCTAAAACTATGTTATGTGACTTCTCACGTTTCACAAGCAATTAAACAATTCACAGAAAACATGCAGAAGAGTAGAAAAGAGAAATCTGTTCCTAAGGCTTAACTAATTACTTAGATTAGAACTCAGAATGTGCTACTACTGATTTGCGTGTTTGGCTGAGGGCGGTGGGGCACTGGAGGGTGAAAGTAAACTATAAATGTTGAAGGGGAGTCCCTTACATCCCCCAACTATACTCCGTGCGAAAATTTCTCTGGCCTGAGGCATCCTTTGCTCTCTGCCCCGCCTCAAGAGGTGTCACCTTTTAATAACGCTAATTAAAATGGGCAATAAGTGATAATTTATGGGTGGCCAAGGACCAAGAAGCTCTCAGGGCCGTCATTAAAACAACAGCACAATTACAACCTCTGGGGGTACACTATTAAATCATTACATGTTTATGTGCACTCCTCAATACGCCCCGGTAAATTTGAACATTTATTTTTTATTACGGAAAACCTTCAAAGTACACACAAGTGGAAACCCTCTTGTACCTACCACCCACATTTAACAACTCTTCCACAATATTGTTTCATCTAGCCTCTCCATTTTTAACTTTGTCGTTAAAACTTCAAAGCAAATACCAAAGTGATAGCATTTTACTCATTTAATATTTCAGTAAGCATTCTGAACATTTTATACCAACTCCCCTGGTTATCGCAAAATGCACCCGCACGACAATATAAAGAAAAAACGTAGAGAATGTATCTAGCCGTTCAAGCTCTGAGCCGAACGTGGCATTCCCCCGGGAAGGGTGGAGGTGGTGGGTGGGAAAGAACAGACCCCAGGCATGGGTCCACGAATTCCATCACCAGCAATCCCCACCCAGCGCCAGGCATGCGCATTCAGACTCCAGAGTTGCTAAGGCTCCCTGGAAAGTAGAGGCACTGAATACGGCGAAAGCCAATCAGAGAGCTCAAAGACTAATCAGTTAGCCAATCCAGATTCGACAGTGAATCAGGTCCTCAACCTTCTGCCAATATCCAATCAGAGAGCGGGCTACTTTGGGCGGATTATTCAAAACAACAACAAAAAAATCCCAACAACACAAATCAGAGACCTTTAAATGGTGCAAAGCAAACAGAAACTGTCTCCTTCCGCTCCCAACCCTGTTACTCTTTTCTCTCCCTTCGGCTCAATAGCAGAATGAAGTCGACGCCCAGATCCCAACCTCTGCCCTGGAACCAAGAGGGAGGAGTGGCTCATTAAAGCAAAGGCGGGCTGAAGAGACTCCCAAACCAGCTGGGGACAGTGGCTGAGAGGAGGGACTATTTTTTAAAGGTTTAGGAGCAGCGATAAATCCCTCCGCGGGGAGTCACGTGTCCCGCCCCTTGGTGGCGTAGAGAACGCAAAACAAAAACAAGGGGTTTGGTTGGGTTTCGGTGGTGGTGCCCGTAGAGGGGCAGGGCTTGAGGGGCTGACGCTACTCCTCGTGAGGGTGGGTGCGCAGGGAGCGGAATGAAGCCGGGGTTGTGAGGCCGTGGCGGCGGTGACGGAGGGGAGGGGTCGGATGCGGGTCCGGGGACACCGCTGAGGCGGCGGGTCCTCCGAGACAGATCCGGACGCCCTCGCCGCACCCAGTCCCCTCCGAACCGCAACGCCAAGCGCCAGTGGAGGCGCGTCTCCGGCACGGTGAGTGGTCCTACCCGGCTTTCTTTGTTCGTGGTCGGGACTCGGGGGAGGGGGTGCATCACAGTGCCCACCCCTCAGCCCCGGAAGCGACTCCGGTCCCGTCCTCAGCTCCAGGGGAATGGGCGTGGGATTTGGGGAGATGATGGTGGAATGGATGGAGCGGCAGGGAGGCTCTAAACAATTCTTTGGTGCCCTCCCCCCATTTTGCCACCGGAGCTCGTTGGGGTGGTGCTTGAATTGACAGCCCGAGGCTCCTCACTGTTGCGGAACCGAGGCATCAGTGGTTGGACGGGTGTGTCGGGGTAGGGGGTGGGATGGCTAATGTCTCCCACTGGGTGGGCATCGGCACCCCACCGCTCTCTGGGACCCGGGTCTTGCCACTCGGTACGTCCAGAGTAGGCGCTGCCGAAGATGATGGGGAAGGCTCGGGGGTCGGACTCCAGCTAAAGGGGCTTACGCGGCTGGGCTCCGGAGAGGGGCGGTACTGCGGAGTCTCCTCCTTCTGGTTCTTTGTTCAGTCGCGAGACTTTCTCTCCCTTCCCCTCTATTGTGCAAAGCCCGCACCCGCAGAACCCGCTGCAGTGGCTGCCCCCCTGTGCTTTCCGCAGGGTAGAAGCCCTCTCCTCACGGTTTCAGGTGGGGTTACCTCCAGATACCTCCACCCGCGGACATTTTCCGGTGTGTGAGTCGTCCAGGAAACCGGCACAGGCCAGTCTGACCCAGAGCTGGCCTGCGGGTGGAACCACGACTCCTCCCCTTTGCCACACCTCCCTGGGGGTTCGTAGATCCTGCTGGGGACCTGACTAAATCCCTCGTCTGCTCCTCGCCGGGTGTGTTAGGGTCCCCCTCGCTGGAGGTATTTTTCTGCCTTTTCCCCCCTACCATCTATTCCCACCTCCCCCAAGTATACACTGTAACTATCTGATGTCTTTGCTGCAGATGAAGGATTTGGGAGCAGAGTACTTGGCAGGTCGTGAAGGGGTCCAGCTCTTCGGATTGTTGAACCTCTACCTAGAACAGGAACAGAGATTCCAACCTCGAGAAAAAGGGCTGAGCTTGATCGAGGCTACCTCGGAGGTAAGGCCCCAGAGAAGATAACTTGCTCAAAGAGCTGATAGGGTGTAGAGAGGATAACCTTTTTTTTTTTTTTTTTTTTTTTTGAGTTGAATCAAGACTAAAGGTTGCCAAGTTTCTGAAGACCAAAGTTGGGCTTCCTGGAGTACTAAAATAAATCTTAATCCTGGATCAAGCTTTTGTTTCTTAGCAGGAGTGAGAATGATACTAACTCTAGAGAAGTGTTTCTTTAAATGTGGAACCCCAGCCTGCAGCTTGTGGGTGGGAGACTGGGAGTTCATTGGTGGAAATACCCTTTGAAACACTCGTTACAGGTTTTTAAGTCAAACACAAACAAGCATAAAACAAGCAAGTAACCCTTTATGTGCATTACAGGGGAATTGAATTATATTTGCTGTAACCCTGTGGAAGTGTGGCAACAGTTCACTTTTTATATGTAGCCAAAGCTCTTTTATGATGTACATTTTTTAAAAGCCATGATATTTACCTTTTGTATATGAAAAAGTGTAGTGCTCTAGTTAAATGATAACTCTTTCCCATGTTCTTGAAAGTTATGGGAAAAAATTGCCTTATTTGATTCTGTATTATCTGTTTACTGTAAGAAAGTAATAAATTTTGGCTTTTGGTTTTTATCTCAGAATGATAACACTTTGTGTCCAAGATTGAGAAATGCCAAAGTAGAAGACTTAAGGAGTTTAGCCAATTTTTTTGGATCTTGCACTGAAACTTTTGTCCTGGCTGTCAATATTTTGGACAGATTCTTGGCTCTTATGAAGGTATTTAATAATTTTCTTATGAATCTTCATTTTTGGCTAGCATAGAAGCGCTCAATAAATATTTGACAAGTAATGTAATTATGTCACTGTACATAAACACTTTTAATAATTGGAACTCATCTTTTGCAGATTAAGAGACTACAAAATTTTGTATTATTGTATTTTAAGTTAGGTTGTACTTAGAACTTAACATATCTTTTCTTTGAAAATATAACAAAATGAAAAGTACTGTTTTTTAGGTATTCTCTATCTATGCAGTCCTTAATAAGGTTTTCATCTCCCATCATGTTTTTGATGGAGCCTAGATGTTTTTTATACTGAAATATAAGTGGAAATATAGCAGTCTGTTAAAGGTGACCAACTGCCTTCACTATGAGAATTCTTTTTAAAGCAGAGAGGTACGTCTTATTAACAGTTACCAGCAACTGTTAGAAAAATGTGGTGATTCTTTTGCCAGTAGGATGGCTGTCAGCTGCTGGGTCAGTTTTCAGGGCACTGAAGAGAAAAGGGCTGCCATCTGTTCATGGCAGTTTTTACATAAGCTCCACTCTGTACAACTGATGCAGTATTTCTTGTGGGCAAATTTGCATTGAAATATGGGATGATCCTAATGTATTATTTTTATATCCAAAGAAGTAGTGTATTTTCTAGGTGTTGAAAGCATTATGTTATTTTAGAGAAGATTGTATTAGGAATTTCATGAGTTTGAAATACAAAGTATACTGGGTTAGAAATCTAGCTTTTGAACTTGTGTTTACATTTTTATTTGCATTTAAATGCTCAAAATGGTCTTTTTTTGAGGGAGGTAAGACAGTTTAATTTGTAAAAATGATTAAATATAATTGTGGGTAAAAGTCAGGGAAGCAGCTTGTTTGTATTCTGTCTTAAAAATAGGGGCATTATTACAATATTCTTTTTAAGTGTTTGCTCTGCTAAATCAAGTAGCAATTGTTAGAAGAAGCCTTTTGTTTTTTTGTTTTCCAGGTGAAACCTAAACATTTGTCTTGCATTGGAGTCTGTTGTTTTTTGCTAGCTGCTAGAATAGTTGAAGAAGAATGCAATATTCCATCCACTCATGATGTAATCCGGATTAGTCAATGCAAATGCACTGCCTCTGACATAAAACGGATGGAAAAAATAATTTCAGAAAAATTGCACTATGAATTGGAAGCTACTACTGCCTTAAACTTTTTGCACTTATACCATACTATTGTACTTTGTCATACTTCAGAAAGGTTAGTGGAATTAAAAAGAAAAATTTTGTACTTTAGCATTGCTATAACTAATAGTAAAGAATTAGAATGCCAATGAAACCTCCTCCAAACTTTCTGCTTGTACTGTGGAAGTTTAGTAAATGAATACTTTGTTCTTTTCATTGTATAGGAAAGAAATATTGAGCCTTGATAAGCTAGAAGCTCAGTTGAAAGCTTGCAACTGCCGACTTACCTTTTCAAAAGCAAAAGTAAGTCAGTTTCTTGCTTACGTGTGATTCACAGTTTCTGTTCAGAGCTTTAAAATAATATTTCTTTTTATTTTATTTATTTTTTTTGTAGCCATCTGTATTAGCTTTGTGCCTTCTCAATTTGGAAGTAGAGAGTTTGAAATCCATTGAATTATTGGAAATTCTCCTGCTTGTTAAAAAACATTCCAAGGTAAACATCCTCAGTTCTTTACAGCAAGTTTTCTTTCTATTTATTTTTAACCCATGTGGTGACTAAAACATTAAGTAATACTTTGTGATTTTTTATTATATCTGTGTCAAAGTTCTCAGAATGCAGCTTTGAACCAGACAGGTGAAGCTGGAAGGGAACACAGTCCTTATCTTAGCTTTTTTCTGTGTTCAGATGTCCCTTCTGTAGTATTTTGCAAATTGCTGCTACACTAGTCCGTTCTGAAATACATAGTAGGAAGTAGACTTACTAAATATACTAATGGCATCCCATTTCATTTTTAGGGCTAAATCATCCCATTAGTACCATTAACAAAATAATAGTAGCTATGTTTTTCTTTTTAAACCCCTTAGGCCAGCCCAGTAAGTTTTTGCAGTCATAAAGAAGTATAAAGCAAAAACATAGTCCTTTTTCTTAAACAAATAGTGTAGTTGGAGATGTATGGAATTTAACATGTAGTCTTGTGTTCTGTCATTTATTATTCTATGCCTGCGTGCCAGAAAATGCTGAACGTAGGGAGTACTTTGGAGTTTTGTTAGTAGAGAAGCAGAGCAGATTGTGAGAGGCACTATGGCTGGGAGGCTGTGGACCAAAGGAATCTTAGTGAACTTTTGGGCAGCAAAGGCTGATGGCCAGGAAGCTGGGGGATTAGAAAGGTTTGGGAATTATTTTAGGGTAGGGTTGTAGATAGAATGTCTAGGTAATAGTCCAGGCAGGGATGGGAATATCTAACTCAAATAACGGTTTTGGAAGCCAAGAATGGAAACAAGTCAAGGAGCCACAAATGATCAAGATTTAGACCTAAGGATGGAGAAGACATTGGTACCACTGAAGGAAATTTGAGACCTGGCTGGTGTCGCTCAGTGGCTTAAGCGCTGGCCTGCAAACCAAAAGGTTGTTGCAGGTTCAATTCTCAATCAGGGCACATACCTGGGTCTCGGGCCAGGTTACCAGCTGGGGTGAGTGAGAGGCAACCAATCGATGTATCCCTCACACATTGATGTTTATCTCTCTCCCTCCCTCGCCTCTCTCCAAAAAAGTAAATAAATAAAATGTTTTTTTTAATTGAGAAAAGTTCATTTGTGATCCAAGAAGTATGATTTGACCTTCCAGGTAGTAGATGTCTACCTAATACTTAGCATCCTGGAGTAAAAACTCAGAAGATAAATTATAATTAGAGGTCAGTATCTGAAATTTCTGCCCTGGCTGGTGTGGCTCATCTGTTTGGAGCCTCAGGCCATAACCAAAAGGTTGCAGGTTCTATTCCTGGTCCAGGTGCATATGGGAGGCAACTGACTGATGTTTCTCTTTCATATTGATATTTGTCTCCCTCTCTCTAAAAGCAATGAAAAAATGTCCTAAGGTGAGGATTAAAAATTTTTTTTAAAGATTTGAGATTTCTCATGAGGAAATAACAAATGAAACCATAAGAAACTTGTGGGAGTCTTTTGCTTAGAGGTTGGTTGACGTTCTGGGTTTTCAGTGTTCACAGTTTCACCATCAGGAGCCAAGTGAAGGAAGATACACTATACAAGTAAGCACTATCAAGTTGGGAAGAGGTTTTCAAGAAGAAGGTAGTCAAGAGAGTATTGAATTTTGGTGAGAAGCCCAGTATAATGAGAATTGAAGGAGGTCATTGGATACCTAGGAGGTTATGTCAGTAGAATGAGAAGGGAGTGGTAGAAGCCAGAATGCAAGGTGGATAAGATGTAGCTGGATTAGGTGGAAATGGAGGTCAAGATTATATAAAATTATCCTCTGTTTGTGGAGAGAAGGTACTTAGGAAGTATTTTGTTTTTAACAGATAACTTCTACCTTGTGATTTAGTTATGAATTTATTCATTTTTTTGTTTGTTTTTTTAAATTTACTTATTTTTAGAGAGAGAAAGAGTGGGAAAGAAATATCAGTATTTGGTTGCCTCTCAAGTATCCCATACTGGGGACCTGGCCTGCAACCCAGGCATGTGCCCTGACTGGGAATTGAACCTGCAACCCTTTGCTTCACAGGCCTGTGCTCAATCCACTGAGCTATACCAGCCAGGGCTTGAATATATTCATTTTAATGTAAACCTTTTTAAACTCTCTGGAAACATCTTTGGTGAAAATTGATTCCTTGAAATAAACATAGTCCCCCCAGTGGTGGAGGAACTATGGCCTTTTGGGGAAATTCCTTTTCTCTGTCATACTGCTTGCTTCTCCATTAGCATATATCTGGCATCTTAATGTAAATACCCATTTTTAGCAATCAGACAATGCTTTGTTACAGAAACGTAAATCATGTTAAATTCCTTCGCATTGAGACTATTAAGGAATATACTTAATGATTATCAGACCAGTGTTTTTAGGTCGGTGTGTTTTTTTAATAGGCAAAACATTCTGTGTATTGAATCTTATGTAAATTATCTGTGATGCTCCTCTCCTAAACCAATGGTTACAGATTTTGACTGCACACTAGAATCACCTGGAGAGCTTGAAAAAATCTTGATTCCCAGATGATACCCCGAGTTGATTAAATAAGACTATCTGGGGTGGGAGACAGGCGTCAGTACTTACTAAGGGGTAACGGGTAATTCCAAGGTGCAGCAAGGTTTCGGAACCACTGTTGTAACCACTTCATTAAATTGTTTTTTTCAGGTTAATGACACTGAATTCATTTACTGGCAGGAGTTAGTTTCTAAATGCCTTGCTGAATATTCTTCTCCTGAATGTTGCAAACCAGACCTTAAGAAACTGGTTTGGATTGTTTCAAGGCGCACAGCTCAAAACCTCCACAACAGCTACTATAGTGTCCCTGAGCTGCCAACAATACCAGAAGGAGGTTGTTTTAATGAAAGTGAAAGGTAAGCAGGTTCCTTAACTAATTAATTAGACTTCCCCATACTAAATATACTCAAAATGGGGATATTATAAGGCATCAGAGAAAGTTTGTATTCTAATAGCATTATTTCTTCAGGGGAGAAAATTAGCCAGAAGTAGTTAATTATTAAAAGAAGTAATAATTTAGAAGTGTGCCTCTTCCCTTTTTCTTATTTAAAAAAAAAAGGAAAGCACCATGCCGTGCATTATATCCCAAGATTTATAAACTGGAAATTTGTACCTTTTGACTGTTTTTTTTAACCACTGCCTCCCTTTTCTGGCAACCAATCTGCTCTCTGCCTCTATGAATTCTTTTTTTTTTTTCTCCATTTTTAGATTCTACATATAAGTGAGATGATAAAGTGTTTTGTCTTTCCTCTGTCTGCTGTTTCCTCTTTGTTAAAAACTGGTTGGTTCCCATCTCTTTTGCTCTTTGAGATATAGTTGAAAAAAACCCATTATTCTGGGCTTCTCATTGTTAGTATGAATTCCTAATATGGTACATGGGAGGAGGCTGCAGGTTAAATATTTGGCGGGGACAAAAGGGAACCACCACCACAAATATGACAGAATTCTGTACATATTTTTTATAGTTTTTGTCAAGTGCGTTTGTTTTGTTCAGAGTTAATTTTATTTGTAAAATGAATTATTTAATTTTTATACTGTAGGGATAAAGGACTGGAAGTTCCATTTCATAACTTATTGGGTGTTTTGGTATGATATTTGAAAGTATTAGTGATGCAATTATTGATGCAAGAAAGACATCAAAACCATGATACGAGTTATGTTGTCCTTAGACTGCATTTATTGGACTTGAAATACTTAAAATTGAATTATTAGTTGATAGAGTTATTAGTTGGTACAAGAATAATAGTTTGGCAAATAGTAATTTGTTTTAACCTCTTAGGAAAATGTATTTTCTAAGGAGATTACAGTAGACTTCACTTCAGGAAGTCCTTAAGTTAAATTTTCTCTCTGTAAAGCCTAAATTTTAAATATAAAAGTCCAGAGACTAGAGATACTTACATAGCAGTTTTACTTTGTGTGTAAAACATTGTAAGTATGTTCAAAATAATGGAATACTCTTTGTCTTTTTTCCCCTTCAGTGAGGACTCTTGTGAAGATATGAGTTGTGGAGAAGAGAGTCTCAGCTCTCCTTCCAGTGATCAAGAGTGCACTTTCTTTTTCAACTTCAAAGTGGCACAGACACTATGCTTTCCATCTTAGAAATCTAATTGTTCTGTGTCAGAATTTAAAGTGTGCATACAGGTTTTTAAAGCAATAAATGGGGGAGTAGGTAGTTTTCTGGTCCAGCCCCCATCTAGGCAGGAACTGCATAGACTGGAATATACCTACCTTCTATTTATTATTCAGATCAGATCTGGCCTATTTTCATATTTAATCTAAGCCATCAAATGGGTTAGTGCCTCTCAAACAATTAACAGTACTTTAGACATTGGCACTTTATTTTTCTCGTTGATCTTTAGCTACTTGGGGGAGGAGGGAAGGTGTTGATACCTTCAATTTATTACTTTTCAAGAATTTTTAAAGAGGAATCATATAACTAGTCTTAAAACTTTTATACAGCTTTCAGGTCTCTTTATTTACACAGATTGGGAGTGGGCCAGTGCTTCCTTAGCAGGGAAAATGGATAATCCTGTAATGGTTTATCTTAAGTCTCTCCCCTCCCCCCATTCTCAGTACAGAGAATATACTCTTAAATGTCAAACACCTTCTTTGTTGTTTTTTAAGTGATGACTTACTGTCTAGTGCAGACTCTATAAACTTAGGAATTATAATATTGCCATTTCTGTGAATTTTAGTATGTAATGTGTTAGTTGAGGTTTCTGCCAAAGCAGAAATAATCAACAAGCTATGGTTGTTAGATAATTGCATTTTTGATGCCTAAGTATTGTCAGACTGTAGTATTATTTTAATGTTATTAAAACAATCCATAATCTTCTAGTTTTGCATGCACCTGTAAGAAAGCAATGCAGGAAGTTGAACAGAACTAGGTAACTATGGAATTGATAAATGTTGATCTAGTAACACATTTTATCTCATTTTTTATATATTAAAAGTCTGCATGATTACATTTTACTTCCTTTGTAATTCACCTTTGACAAATAATGCTATTAGTATATGGGTGCCAAGACTGAATAAGAAATTAAAAAAAAAAACTGTAGTGTTATAGTTTTAGGTATACCTGTGTGGTGGTACAGCCATAAAAATAGGGATTTATAAACTCTGTACACATGAAATTTTGTACAGAGAATTTTTTAAACTTTATAAACTATGAAAATGTAAATCTTAAAAAATGTACATAAAAATACTGTATTTTTTTACCTTGTGCGTGATAGTCTAGTAATTGCATGTAAATATAATTTATTGTGTATTCTGTGTTATAGATCAAACATGATGACTTAACTTTTTTAGTGGTAGGAAAGTCAGCATTCATTGGATGTTTTCTGTAGTGGATCTTTTTGGAGTAATAATGAATTACAACTCAAAATAAAAATATTAATGGATCGTACTCCTTTTTTTCAATCACATAATTTTTTGGTAAAAGAAGTACTTGCTTTGTTTCAGTGGGAAGGCTTGAAGTGAGGCTGGAGTACCTCCACTGTAAGCCATCTTTGGTTACCTGAAGTCCTCTGGGTAGTGTTTCCTTATCATGGTTTGGCCCATAGTCTTGGATACACCGAAAGTGAATCTGTCATTTGAGAATTGACCTCTCTTTGGATGAACTTGCATTAAACAAAATACATATTAATTTATAGTGAAAGGGAACCAGTATCAAGTAGACCAGAATACGCTGGTTGGCAGGTTAGTACGGTTTCTGCAGACAGACTGAATTCTCAGGTTGCTAGGTGAATAAGCGGTTAGGGTAGTGTTGGCCTGTGATTGGACTCTGCCAGCCTCTGGCTCTTTGGGACTTTTTTCCAAGCCTTAGGCTTAATTTGCAAGTGGTTGTGGGGGTTTTTTTGTTTTGTTTTGACATAGGTTCTGCCTCTAGTTTAATTTTATAGACCTAGTTAGAGAATCAGATATTCCGAATGTGGTGTTCATGTAATAATACCTCTTCCCACTTAGAGATATGGGCATGTTTTTCTACTCTGCTAGTGGAAATTCTCTAGTTACATAATTTCGGTAAATAGTAGACTATATTCTGCTCTCAGATTTTGATTTGTTGATATATGTTATGTATGGTTTTCCAAATTTTGAAACCTCCTTTAGTTCCTCCAGGGTTTTATTGCTTTTCCTAGATTCTCCTTCGGTATGAACCTCTCCACACATGACTCCATCTGTTCCCCTTTCTGGTTTTCAGTACTTTTAGTCTAGAGCTCTTTATCTTACTCTCAATGTGTTTATTCACAACTGCTCATCCTAGTTGGAGGTTTCTGATTACTCCCAAATCTGCTCTTCTATGTATATCTTGGTGAAAATGTATTCTGTATATTCAAGTAGGAAATTTGGGCAATGCTCTAGTTTCCCACCTGTGTACAGTAGGTTACCATTTATCATTGATAAGATTTCATTTATACTGTACAGCTCCACTCTGACTCCTCTCTCCTGCTACTGGTTTGGTTCAGCCTTCACTCTAAGCAGGATTACTACAATCTTAGTTACTCAGTTTACAGGCTTGTTCCTGATCCCCTTACTGCTCGGATATTCTTTTTAAATATGCAAATGCTGTACGTCTCTCCTGAAAAATTGTTGAATAGGTACCTCAGTCAGGATAAAGTCTATGTCATAACATACCGGTCTTTCCCTAGTCAAAACACTACACCTGTCTATGGCCTTTTTTTTCCCTTCCCACTACGAAGTAGTAAGGGTGTCCATCCTATTGGCATCTATGGGCCATACATTAAACACTTTGTGACAGGTAATTACAGAAAAATCTAGTGTTTTAAGTAAGTTAGCAAGTATTGTGTTGGGCCACATTCACAGCCACTGTGGGCTGCAAGTTGGACATTGCTTTATGTGTATTAAGCAAGGTAACTTGGGGAGCTGTGTGGAAGATGGACTGTAGCAGGTAGACATGAGTAGGTGGGAGATCAGTCAGGAGTTCTGCAAAAGTCCACCAGAGGTGCTGAAGGGCTGAACTAAGGCAGGTAGCAGGGATGAGGAAGAGGAAAGAATTGAAAGATACTATCTATTCTCTTGAGGCATCATTAGGATATCCAGACAAGTCCAGGAGCCTAGTTATGCCCTTGGACCATTCAACCAGGTGGCTTCCCCACAACTGATGAATAAAATTGAGATTTCAGCCTCTTACCCCATTCACAGCAGAGGGTGAAAGAAGGCAACCATTTTGATCTATTTGCTGCTTGACTTGGCAAGAGATTTGGCTTTTCAGGTTTTGATTCTGTCATTTCCTAGGATGTGGTATGCAAACTGCTGCTTCTGCTGTTGGGTATGCTAAAGTATCACTGACTAGTCCCTGGTCTCCACCCATTTGTCCTTCAGAAAGTGAGATTGGACGAATAGCATGTTTTAGTTACCTGTCATACTCAAAAGTTAATACTCTAGTGAAGTATAGAGGCATTGTAGAATACAACATTTTAAACCATTTTCTTTGTTTAGAATCTGACTTTCCTTCAGTTCCTTTCATTTCAATATTGGGTTTCAAATAGGATGTTCCCCTCTGCCTTCCACCTTCCTCTGTATACATGCAAATTGTCAGTTTATTTAGGTAATCCACTTACAGATTCCTTTATGGACAAAGACCATGTATTTGCATTTGTCACTTTTGAACTCAGTTTTTCTCTCTCTTTTTTTTTGTAAAGGCAACAACTTACTGTCTTTGTATTTAGCAAATGAAATTGTGTGGTAGATAGTTTTCCCAATAGTCAAAAAGCCTTCCCATCTCCTTGAATTTCAGTTGGCCTTGTGCCTGGCTTTGCCTACTGAAGTGCAGTGGAAGGAATTCAGTGCATGTCCAAGCCTAGGCTTTAAGAGGTCTGGCAGCTCCCTTTTATCCCCCTTGGAAGCCAGCCACCATGCTGCAGAGAAGCTCCGGTTGGATCACGGAAAAGATGAGAGGCCGTTGTGGAGAGAGGCTCCTGAGGATGGGGAATGCCAGCCTTGGCTAAGCTCCCAGCTGAATGCAGCCTGCAGAGTATCCTCAGTGGCATAACAGCACAGGAAACACCCAGCTGATCCCAATCAACCCAAAAGACTCATGGAAACTAAATTGTTTTAGGCCACTTGGTTTGGAGGCGGTTTGTTAACACAGCAACAGGTAATAGGTTGCTTACAATTTACAGTCAAATGGTGGTCATAGCTAAGTGGTAAGTTCACAGGTGATTTTTTTCTAATCATGGTTATCTGTAGTTTTTGTTTTTTTCCCCCTGAAATGGATTTGAATTATTAGTGTAGTAACAGAACAAAGAAAAAATGTTTAAAATTGCTGTATCTTTCCTTTGATTAAAATTCTTAATGGATTCCTGGTATTCCTGAGCATCAAGTTCAAACCCCTTACCAGAGCTCACAGGACCCTGTCTGATTCGATCCCTTCTCCCTTCTCAGCCTCACGAATGTGGCATCCATATACACACTTCCCAGCCTAATTGTGTTTCAGTCCCTTCCACTCCATGTCACTTCCTGCCTTCATGTACACAATTGCACCTGTCTGGCACATTTTTGCTGTCATCCTCATTAGGCAGACTCCTATTTACTACCTTAGGGGTCACTCGATTCACTTATTTATTCACTCTTCATTCACCCATCAGATACTTGAGTGCTTCTTCCATGCCAGGCACCACACTACGTGCTTGGTACATAAAACCAAACAGTGTCTGTGCAACTTAATTCTAATGGCAGAACCAAATAATTAAATTCAAAGGAAATAACAATTTTTAAGAAATCTTTCTGGAACTCCCCAACTTACATTTTTCTTGTTCTAGCAGTTAATACCTTGTCTGTCTGCCACGTCTGTTTACCTTACCTGTCCGCTCTGCGAAGCCATTGGTGAATCCCTAGCACCCAGCCTAGTATCTGACCCAAACTCCTTTTGCTGTTATTGGTAGCAAGTAACTTTATGCAATACTGACTACTTAATGCGTTCCAGGCACCTTATGTGAATTGTTTAATTCTCGCCACAAGACAAGCACTGCTATTAGTTCCTTTACATATGAAGAAACCAAGGATTAGACAAGTACTTTGACACAAATTTGGTAGGTGGTAGGGCTATAATTCAAACCAAGTCTATCTGCCAAACCCTTCACTTAACCACAATGCTGAACTACTACCCAAACTTTGATAGTACTCATTAAACAGTAGTAGAATGCATGAAACAATAAAAGTTCTTATAAGGAATATTCTACTCCTAATACCAGTAAAATGAGCCAGGGTATTTTCCTGTTCAATTTTTAAATGCTTTCACCCATAGGGAAAAAATGGCTAAGATTTAGAGTTAAGTATCTTTAATCATCCAGGAACCAAACGTGGTAATGTGCAGGTTCTGGGTAGTGGAGTGGTAGAGAAAATGTAGCCTCATCAGAAGCTGGGGATTTTAATTTGCCCTGGGAACTTTTCCATACTCAGGCTTATGGGTCCTTCCCAACCCCCGTAGGTCGAGTTCTTTTTACACTTAGGTTATAGTTTATATTTTATCATTATCTTGAGTCCCAAGGTCCATTGTCACTGAGTGTTAGGTGGAAGGAACTTTGTAACAATTGACTGTTTTGTTAAAGGCTTGCTTGCCCTTTGCCTGTTTTACTGTTTGTTATCCAACATAGCAATCATCTGCCACTTATTCATGAACTGTTCTGGGGTTGTTTCAATAATTATTTCATGTATTTGTGTTTTATCCCCTTGCCTAAACTCAGCTTTGCATGAGAAGAGATCTTGTCTTGTGCTTTCTTTATATCCTTTAATGTGTCTAACATCATACTGGGACTTAAGTCAACATTTTTTTTTACACATGTCACTCCTGATAGTGTCTTTTCCACTCCTGATTGTAGCAATTCATGGCTGGTAAAGGTGAACTTTCATGCATGCAAGGTTGAATTCAGCCTCTCCAATGTTAGAATTTCAAATCATTACTCAGGTGTGGAGGGGGACATAGCCCACTGCTACTATTATGTGTTCCTTATTCAAGAGTAAGATGGAGTGATTGGGAACGCAGGCTCTTTAATGAGACTGTCAGGGTTTGATTCTGGTTTGACCACTCACTATCTGACCTCACTGACTGTTAACTAATGTGTCTCTGCCTCAGTTTCTTCACCTATATAATGGGGTCAATAACATTAGCTACCTGTGATGGATACTGAAATGTGCTACCTAGATGTCTGGCTACTGTAAGTGCTGTTGGCACACAGCCTTCAGCAGATGGCCCTTTTGGGTCTGCCCGCTCAGAGCAGCCTGATCCAAGGTCATGCCCTGTCCTGGAGGGTTCACATCTAATGACTAATTAAGGTGGAAGGAGATATAAAGGCTTGGTCACTTCAATCCAAAACAGCATAACACAGATCATTTGGGCCCCAATGCTCCCTATGGGTTTGGCTGAGGCTGCTTTTGGCTCA